GTTGAACTATGTCTACTGCATTCAATTTTGACCATAGTAGATGTATGTAATTAAATAATCGAGGAGGAGACAATAGTCGTAAAATGGCAAAAAATAAGATCAGTTGTGCACTCGTAACCCCAGCAGAAAATGAAGAACTAAGTGAATTACATCTGTGGAACGCCGTCACATCAATTGTAATAACTAAAACACACACTTACGTAGCGAATATGGTTTCAGGCAGAATAGGAATACAGCAGCCAGCAAGTACAAAAAAAATGAAGTCTACACCTTTCCTGTGTGTGAATATAGTGTATGTGAGAAAGGTAGTGGAAGATGAATATGTTACTGTGTAGATGAATGGGATGGTGCGTACGTATTATTTGAAGAGTGTGAGCAATACACCGTTTGCATTCTGTTTGCACGAGTACGAATATACATAGCTTCCAACACCTGCAATTGTTTGAAGAAAAGTGCGCAACGAATAACACTAAACCAGAAATCATCAAACACCTTACAAGTTATGACATTCTGGACTGGACGCCAAATGCTTGTACACATTCTTCAAGTAATACGCACGCACCATCACATTCATCTGCCACTACCTTTCTCACATACATGTACACTATAGTTACACACAGGAAAGGTGTGAACTTCATTTTTGTACTTGCTGGCTGCTACAGTCAACTTCGCTAATAAGGACATCGGATATAACGACAATTCGCGAATAACGACATAATTGTCATGCCCAGAGCAAAGTCCCATCCAACTGTTACACATATAATGAGACTTCGGGTATAACGACACTTCGCGAATAAGGACACCTTTTTGATGCCCCGCCGAGTGTCGTTATAAGCGAAGTTGACTGTACATTCCTATTCTACCTCAAACCATAATATTAGCTACATATAAAGTGAAGTGTCGAAAAAGCCTGCAACCACAAAGTATCGTATTTGTTAGACTCGGGTGGAGAGTCAAGAATTTATTTACAATCTCATAATTTGCTAAATCCTATATATAGGATTTTGGTCATATTTTTCAACTCAGAATGGGTGTGGCACGAGCATAGGGAAACGTACATGTACATGTGTGTGACCAATTCTTCCGTATTAGGTCTTAGTAGAGGAGAGTTGAATAAGATAATGTTTTCAAATACTTACATCTAAAGCTCATCTCCTTGCGCAATATTTCTAAGGCCTGTGCCCTATGTTTCGAATCCTACATATAGGATTTGAGATTTTACTAGACCTTGTTTTATCCTTAAAACTGGTAGTTTCATGACGGCATGTGCGATATGTCGTCCTAAAACCACCCTGTGCCACACCTGTAATGTTCTTTTGCACATTCACTGCTTCAGTCGTTTCTATGACACCAGCTTAACAATGCTGTTCAAAGTTCCAATTTTAGCTGAAAATGAGTATTCATGTCCTATGAATCTTACAGCTTCTATGAAAACCATTATGCCGTTATTATGGGTCATGAATGGCTCATGATGACCAATAACAACGGCATACAGGTCACATATTTTCAAATCCTATATATAGGATTTTTGGCCAACAAATTAAGAGATAAGAAAAGAGGACGAAAGACCTACAAGTTACGTCACAATATCCACTAACACCACCAGTTGCTTTACAATCAGCTCATGCGAAAAGATTGCACGACACTGACCAACGGTACTGACGTTCTACACCTACATGTACATGAACGTGTAACTGGCTATTGGCTCTAGCACATCTCCTTATGATGTGCTTCACCTCCTTGTGTTATTTCTATAACTTAGAACCTTCCAAGCTGGAAGGCTGTTGGAGTGCGCATCCAAGATGTGCTAGAGCTGATTGCCAGTTAGGTGTAGAACGTCAGCACCGTTGGTCAGTGTCGTGCAATGTTATCGCATGAGCTGGTTGTAAAGTAACTGGTGGTGTTAGTGGATAGTATGGCGTAACTTGCAGCTCTTCTGTCCTCTTTTCTTCTTTCGGATTTATTGTACTTGTATTTGTACTTATCAAAGTATGCCATCACTGGCGTAGCAGCTAACGAAAAAGCGAAATACATGTACAATGCTTCTTGAGGAAAGGAAAAGGACATATGGATACGAGTTAAGACTTAAGAGTAACTCTCCATCACTGTAACTGGATACAATATACAGTCAGAAAGTGCAATAACTAGGCACAAAACTGACAAGAGTACTGAGACATTCGACGTCCTGACACCTAGCTTCAACACATCTCCGTAGCGCTAACCGACAGCCTTCCAACTTGGAAGGTTCAAGGTTATGGAAATACAAAGAGGGGAAGGCAAGCGCAACGAAAACGAGCAAAAGCTACAGTCCCCCTCTTTGGTATTTCCATATCCTTGAACCTTCCGAGTTGGAAGGCTGTCGGTTAGCGCTACGGAGATGTGTTGAAGCTAGGTGTTAGGACGTCGAATGTCTCAGTACTCTTGTCAGTTTTGTGCCTAGTTATTGCACTTTCTGACTGTATATTGTATCCAGTTACAGTGATGGAGAGTTACTCTTAAGTCTTAACTCGTATCCATATGTCCTTTTCCTTTCCACATTTATTTATGGCTCAACATCCGAGTTTCAAAATGCTTCTTGAAGTTATAATTATAGAGAAGATATTCACTGGTAGAGAGAAGCCGGAAATGGATAAATCTACACACAACGATAACTTCCTTTCTGTTAGAAACAGTAAGGCATGTCTCTACATGTTACTTGTGGCTGAGCTCTAGTTGAAATACTCATGTATGTACTTCGAACTGCTTGTACGTGTTCTGCCACTTTTTTGCCATTGTAGTGGACTTAGGAGAATAAAGTTGAAGACACCACTGCAACTGTACTTATGGTTGATAAATATGTTGGTAAAGACACACCTGTAGCCCTTTCCCAAAGGTGCTCTTTTAATTCGCACTTAGTGCTTTTCGCGTCCCTCAAAATATGCTGAAAAAGTGCTCTTTTTTCAGTGAAAACAGGCAAAAAGTGCTCTTTTTTCAGTGAAGGATAGCCATGATACATGTTCAGATATGAACCCAAGCTGAGAAATGAATACGCGCTCTTCCATTTATGGGTCCACGAAAGGCAAAACAGGAAGTAAAGTTCAAAAAACCCACTTTTTTACAGCATTCTGTACACCGGGTACAAGCTTCACCAACTAACTAACTTGTTGCCCCCCCCCCCCGAAAATGCGGCGTGCCAAGGCCCACCCACATCGAGCACTCGGAAACTGTGACCGCGTGCGTGAGCAAACAGATTTTAGCACTTTTTCAGCTAAAAAAGCTCAAAAGGGCGATATTCACCAAAAAACGCAATAAAGGGCGAAAGAAACGGGCTTTTCCAAAAAGGGCCAAAAAGGGCGAAAAAAGGGGCGAGCACCTTTGGGAAAGGGCTACCACCTGGCTTTAACGACCGCTTTTGCTTGCACCGTGGGGTGGTCGCTTAAACCAGGTTTTACTGTACCAGTATTCTGACGATAGTATCATGTATTAAAAGCCCGTCCTCAAGTCATGTATGATAAGGCCTGTGGAGAATTGATAAATACTTGAGGTACATGTACTGGTATATGTACAGAAAGATCGAGGGAAACAAGCGTGGCATTCACTTCATGACCACAGCTGCACAAGAGGATCGGAGCCTTCCCGGTGTCCGTCCGTAACAGAGGGTCAGCTCATCTACAAACTCTCTGTAAAGTAAAGGCCATAGATTTTCCATGGGTGAAACGTTAACGAGTCTGCTCGATGATTCCTTATCGCGGGTAACGCCAATGCTGTTGTGCAGACCGAGCCTCGGATGCATTCTCTTCTAACCTCCATCTCCACAATCTGTCCTTGACAGGTCTTGATCCTCAATTCTATACACAGTGTGTATAGTAGCTACCAGTATCGGTACAATGAATGTCATGCTTTTCCGCATTGGCATCGCCAACAAGCTCGACTAGCCTTCGCATAAGCCAAATGGAAAGAAGAAATGAAACTCGAGAGAAAAGTCGATTGCTCTGCACACCCACACCGGAGCTCGCGCTTTTCCGCCCACTTGATTTGACACTTGGCAGCACCAAGTTGGAAGTGTCGCTGATAACAATGAATCTTCCAGGTCTGAAGGCCATTGGTTAGCACTGGGGAGTCTCATAACGGTATGGGAGTATACTGTTATGTAATTATGCTACCGTGACCATGCTTAACACGCTATGGTGCAATGCTCAAGGCCACATGGTCATGTCGTGCGATCACTGAATGTCTCAGTAGAGTCAGTACTCCCTGTCAGTTTTGAGTGTCATTTTAGAATTAATAATTACACTACAATAGTGGTTTAACTCGGATGGTGAGCCAATTAAATTTAATTAAATTATGGTGAAAAAAGGAGGACAAAATGTTACTAGTCATAACTCGTAACATGTTGTCCTCCTTTTTTCACAATAGTGGTTCCTAATGAGTGTTGCACGAAAACTAGTTCGAATCATTTTGTTCCATCATTCTTTCTTCTTACATGTCTCTTTCCAATGATGATTGTGAATGAGTTGAACTAGTGCAGTGTGAATGGAAGCGAGCGTGTGACGGTGTGGGCTCTACTCTTAACTGGTTATGAAACTGCAGGAAGCCTCCCCACTTTTACTTACGTCTCTTTAAAAAAAAGTAAATTATCGTGTCCGTTCCCCAAGGGAACTCACGACGGCCGCTAACATCATGTCTCTTTCCACTACAATAATTATCTCATAAACTTCATGTTGAGGTCCGGAGGTTTTTCCATCCTAGCTTCAAGCGTGTGTGAGTGCTGCGACGTCTGCCCCATTTGGGGATAAAATTTGGCATTTGTGGTTTTGCTACAGTCTTCTCACCTCTCCCTTTTGCTACTGGAAGTCTCTCAAGCTTCGCATGGTATGTGCTGGGTGTAGTAGACGAGGGGAGACTCTCAGGGACGGTGGGTGCCTGTGGTATAAGCTTTGCCATTGATCCTTGCGGGGCACACTGTCTCCCAATTGTGCCCTTATAATCGCCGTACGTTTTCTGCACAAGTCTTTCCTTACCGGCTAGCGATTCCCAGCGTTTCACAATCGCACACCACTGGTCGATGTCGTCCTCGCTTTTCGCGCACACGTTCTTGCGGAATTCCTCACTGAGCTCGGGGCTGGTTTTAGCAAGCCCTCTGTAGGCGTGGTAGCGCATGTACTCAGCTTTGGACAGGGACACTCTCTTTATGTACGCAAACGCCTCGGTGAGATTCTGAAATGCTGATAGGTCAATGTAGGAGGTGTTGCTGGGTGCTGCCCGCTCAAATCCTGGTAGCGGACCATGCGACATAACTATGGGTACGCTTGCCACGGTGAGCGCCCGGCTGAACTTCTCCGTTATGTAGTCTTGGCACACGGCATTCTCGACGGCAAAATGAAACAGGTACTGCTTCAGCACTTTGCTTATGGGCACTCCAGCAGTCTCAACATCAGGGACTGGGTCGTAGTTATGAAGGCACCGACCTAGGCTGTGAACCTCAATCTGCTGCAGCATGTATTGCAGAAGCAACTGACGACCGCCGTAGGATCTGCAGTTGCTGACCAGGGCTGAGACGGGAACGGTCAGGTGTCGCTGTTCGTACTCCACTGCAACTGGTTTCAAGTACTGGTCACAGAAGCACTCACCCGGTTGCGACAGGGAAAACTCTATGTCGCTGTATCTGGAGAACGTTCTCAAGAGGTTTATGGAAGACATACTCTCCCAGTGCAACACCGTGTACGGAGCCTCGCCACTCGTGGCCATGTACAGTTGATACGCGTGTGCACGCACTGGAAGTGGAACGGGAAGATGCGGAGAATGGAAATCGACCAAGTCAGCTTGGGCGAACCAAGACTTGTTCGATGTGTACACCAAGTTGACACCATCGCAGCATCCGAAGTGGGACAGTCCATTTTGCGGCGGGTGGGTGACGAAAGGCTCGTGGCGGTACGACAGTATCAGAAACGTTGCACGATGCTTGGTGCAAACTCGCACCGTGTCAGGGTGCTTGCATTTCAACTCGGACACGGAGACAGGCCAAGCGTATGCGGAGCTCTCCCCGTCATTTCCCCACACCTCACTGACAAGAGAACGCTTGAGCCCGTAGGGATTAGCAATCGAAGACGAGGTGAATGTGCTGCCGCCTCTTGGCACTGACCAATAATTCCGATCGGACTGATGTTCCAGCTGGCGGGGAAAGACCAGTGATAAGCAGAACCAGATACCAACAAACAGGAGCAACGTCACACGTTTCCATCTGCACAAGATTAGGCGCATGCTTGCCTTCCGCAGAGCCCAACGCCACGGTTCAGACCGATATTCTTGTCCGGACCTGGTACTGTCGTCACTGATAAAACAATCATACAGTTCTAATAACTTCTATAATTATTTTTACATCTACTCTGTGCTGTACTTTTGTAGCACTTGTTCGACTGCTCGCTTGTGTACCACTTGGTTTGATCCCGCCTCCCAACTGTTTTTGTGTGCATATTTAGTATCAGGATTCAGGATACCTGATATCGGAGGCAGAGTGTGTAATGACCCCGGCCCCGTCAATGTCGTAGAGTCGCAGCCTAGCCTGTATGGTTGTTCACCGGTCAGTGTTCACGAAGCGCCTCTTCCACAGTCCCAGTCAAATGCCCTTGGAATAAGTGGTTGCGTTGGAGGGGTTCCGCACTTCCGACTTGACGCTGCATATCATGGACACGTACAATGCATCACTATGTACATCTAGATGTCATTGTGCAAACAAGGCCGGTCTAGGCAGCTCGAGGTAGCGGGTAAGACTAAGAGTGCTCAATGCACGAACGTAGAATCTACGGAGCAGCATACACACACACACAACATAGGCGAAAGGCTATGCAGCTGTAACTTTTCAAAGTAACCACCGTAGAATCCCGCACAAGGACATTTCGGTGCATGGGCTTATACGAGAACATTGGCTTATACGGCGACACCAAGTTGTGCTATTGAAATGTACCAGGGAAGTCGTAGTGATAAGTACATTGCTGAAAACCACTGTGCAAACAAAAACAACCGATGATTGTGCTGAAATGTACGAAAAAAAGCTATAATGTGCATGACTACGTACCTGGTATGGCCAAGAGTCCATAATTTATGGACTCCCCGTATGACCTAGGCCCATGGGCTTGTACGATGAAGCTTTGTGACGTTCGAACAAACCCTGGGCTTAGGGCGCGCTCACACTGCGACCATGAGTACGCGTCCATGCGTCAGCAAAACGCAGAAACGTGGCAGTCATGCTCACACTAGGCCTCGTACACGCGTAGACGTGAAGTTGTCACACAAACTTTACGAATTGCAGTTCGTATCCAAAAGAGTTCGTGCGTTTCCTAATAAAGTTGTGGCCCGTTTTGGATGTAATTTTTCGCATGTTGCATGTTGGAGGAAGTGCCTCGTGGCTCGTATTTAATTCTTGAAGTCGACGAAAATAATTCATACAATCAGGTAGGTTTGGACTCTTGAGGGACTGCCGCTGACAGCCAAGCGCTTTCGCTTTCCTGACCTCGTGGTCAGAGCAAGTGCCAGTGCAGTGGAAATTCCGGTAGTGGTTTCTTTCGTCTGTTGCCGAGAAGAGAACTGTATTTTCCGATGATATGTAACTGAAATGTCTTGAGGTATGGCATTCCATCATCGCAGAAAAGTAGAGAAAGATGATTTCCCAAACCGAAAAGCCAGGCCAAGCTGCCATCGTATTGAACGAGTACACTGTAGAAATTTATTAATGCGATTAATAGTATAAGTGAAGCGGACATTACAAAATGATGAATGAGAATACATGTATCTAAAATGGTTGTTCCTAATCGATTTTCTTGAGACTATCATCAGGGAAAAATCGTCTCACAATAGAGGCTATACGGAAAACAAACTACTTATAGGTTATAGGATAGTGGGGAGTATACAAGGTGAGGTGTGAAGAAAAAAAAAACTAAAGTGGGAGAGAATACGAAAGAAATTAGAAGAAAAGATGTGAGAGTGTTCAGACGGTGTGAGCTACTACAAAAGGTGAGTGAAATGAAGGCGTGGAAGCAGGTGACTGTGATAGAGTGAGGAAGTGTGAGGTGTAGGTGTATGCGAATGAATATGTGTGTGAATGCTAGGTGAAGAGTCTCAATTTTGTGACATTTTCTTTCTGAATGCATAGATTAGGATTGTGTTTACGGATGAAAACAGCTTCTAATACCTTAAGTTCACGAAACCTACGAGCACGGCACAAAACAGTGAAGCATGAATCGTCATACACTGAGCGGCATTGGCTACTAGACAAGAGGTGTTTTTTAATTGCTGACCCTTTCGTTGTGCTCTCACCTTCAGTCCGGTCATCTTCATCTTGGTTGTCCAACTCACTCTCTTCATCACTGCTCACACCTTCTTCATCCTCTTCCTCTTCCATCCCGTCCTCTGCACCCGACGACAATCCCACGCTACTGCTCACTGCCAGTCCATGTCCGGTTGTAGATGCCATTACCAGCGCACGAGTCATGCTCCTTGTTACTGGTCTCCGTACCTGTGCTTGTCCATTTCCTACAGTCTCACGTAACTGTGCACTTGCAGTGGGTTCACCCGCTGCTGTAATAGTGTGGTTCTGTTGTGCAACTGGCACCTGTTTGCGGGGACGGCCTCGCCCAGGTCGCTGGGCTTTGGCTGCATCTGACAAAAGGTACAATGGTACATGTTGTTTGACGCGTGCGTTCAGGTGCTGAAGGGTTCTTCCTACATATCGGCTATCCCAATGCCGACATTCAAAATGATAGATTACATGGCTAATTAGTTGGGTAGGAAGAACATCCTTCTTCACCGTGAACGCACGGGCCGTAGTGAAGACAGTTGTCAATGCTGTGGCAAAATAGGTTTGTCTGACCACAGTCCTCACGGCGCGGGCCACATCCAGCGAAATTTGACCTTTCCATGGAAGTCGTAAAAATACACGACATGGGTCAGGTCCAAACTCAGGCTCGGCAACCTGAATATCAGGTTCACTAAACAGCTTACTGAGGAGCTGAACAGGATATCGCATACACCTACACCTCACACTTCCTCACTCTATCACAGTCACCTGCTTCCACGCCTTCATTTCACTCACCTTTTGTAGTAGCTCACACCGTCTGAACACTCTCACATCTTTTCTTCTAATTTCTTTCGTATTCTCTCCCACTTTAGTTTTTTTTTTCTTCACACCTCACCTTGTATACTCCCCACTATCCTATAACCTATAAGTAGTTTGTTTTCCGTATAGCCTCTATTGTGAGACGATTTTTCCCTGATGATAGTCTCAAGAAAATCGATTAGGAACAACCATTTTAGATACATGTATTCTCATTCATCATTTTGTAATGTCCGCTTCACTTATACTATTAATCGCATTAATAAAGTTATTGTCTCCTCGTCGCCTTTTCACTGTAGAAATTGGTCACTGACCCGATCACAACGAAGCAACTACAAAAACAAAAACAAAATTGACATCGTCCAAAATAGTGCTGGGGCCAAGTCCGAAAAAGTCGCTTTATTGAGGAGTTGCATTTGACACCTCGTCCAGGAAAGATTTGACTTCAAATTCGGAGAGGCGGACCAACTACAGGAATTTTGGAGAAAACTAGCAGTTCCCAATGTTGTCCGTTTGGAAGTTATGAGCTATTTCCAAATTGCTTAGGTTACTATGGTAACCTGTGTGCAATTGGCCGTTCCTGAGGCAAAGCCGGTACAATTTTGGAGAAAAAAGTTACCTTGTTGGAAGGCGAGCTCTTTCCAAGACTGTTATTGAAAACTAGAAGTTTATAGGACTGTCGGCTTCCTTGTCACAGGAATTTCTCGAATTTCTACGGTCACCGCGGTAACGTGTATGCAATTAGCCACTTCTAAGCCAAAATCAGTGCATTTTCTTCCCTGTAGGCAGGTGGAAAGCAGAGAATAGTTATAATAATGTGGCTTAGAGGTCTATTGGGCTGTTGCAAGCCTGGTTTGTAGAGACTGGACCCCTCTCTCCTGATTTAGTGCCGGGATCCACACAAAAGGATCAAGAGGATTTAGGCAGGACTGACATCCAAGAACGAGCAAAGAAACACAGCTGATAGCAAAAACAAAAACAAGAAGACTCAAACAATTCCCTAGCATATATTAGAACTGGGGCTAGCCCCCATTATAGTTCAAATGGTCGCAAGACCAGGGCTATGCCAACCGTGGAGGTTGTAGTAAGGTCATAAGGAGCACTGTTTTCGAACACAGACTCAGTGCATCCTCCGCCTACACGTAGCTTGTAACATGCTGGCAACCAAACTACATTGTATGTTTTGTCATGTACATGTACATGACTACACGTATTTTTTCACATCCAAAGAATCATCTTGCCCGTATAGAGGCCAGTACTGTAAGGTGTACATGTACAATACAATGTACTGAACTGAAGTACATGTCCAGGACACTGTTGAGGTATTCATTATAGTTACATGTATTGTTGTTGTTACTGGTGTGCATGAAGTACATGTATACATGTACTTCATGCACATGTATAGTCGTTCAACCAAACACACCAAGTTCCCTTCTCATATCACACGGAGATGTCAGGACTTAGAAGACGAGAGAGATCGGAGTATGCAAACTGCTCCATGGCAGGGCAGAAACCTCACTATTGTCACTAAGAACTCCACAACCTGCCGATTAACAATTTTCTCCAATACGTTGACAATTGGCAAGAGATATGGCTTGTAGGAGTTGAGAGTATTCAGTATTATTATGGCCATAACTGTCTCCACATTTACATGATTGTATACAGGTGAAACCATCCAGGGTGTTCGATGTACATGGAATAATCTGTGGCATCATGGTAAGTCCCGGTTTTGCTCAGTCGGTAGAGCAAGCGGTTACAGTAATGGATAATGGTTATCATACAGAATTGCACACTTATTCCGAGAGAGAGAAAGAGAGAGTTCTCAGGTAATACACTGTAATCTAGCATGAAACTAATCCACAGGGAACTGATCTGCGGAGAACTGGTCTTAATCGGCAAGAAACTTATCCGCCGGAAACTAGAAAGACAGTAGCTTTTATAGGGTGAGTAAGTAAGCTAGCCTATGGTCAGGAGATACGTAGAGCAGAGAGAAGTAAGAAGAAAGGTCAAACTACAAGGTACATGATTGTGTGGGCAGAAGAATGGGAAAGGTCGGGACATGGCACCTGTGCAAGAGGAATACGTTTTAGAGGAAGAACTGAATAGAAGGGTGTACAATACATCGTATACATGTACATGTAGGTGTGCAAGAATACCAGGAGGACAACTGTTGAAAGGGGCATTCGGATGTACATGTATGTA